TTGATCTCTACAGAGCCTCCATAGTGCTTTTTCTCAAATATAAATATGACTATTCACCTAACTTATAAAATGTGGAGATATACTGATTAAAAAGCTGAATAAATGCACAAGAAAGAAAAGATAATTTAAAACTCTAGGAGAATATAGGAACTATACAAGAAATGCCATAGTTCTAATATGAAATGAACTAAAATATAACACTGGAACAGATATGACTCTCAGTACACAAATTTTAAAAATACTTCAACTACTAGTAATGAGACTGATCCTCAGACTTACCTTCAGAGGTTACCACTAAAATGTCTGCTATTCCAGTCCACATGCCTCCACTTTCCAAGACTGATGGGACACATAAATCTGAGTTCATTTGGGTTCATCTATCTAAACACACAATGGGGCTATTACTTCCCTGAATCTTGCCATTTCCGCGGGCTGCTTCCAAAAGTCCCCTCTGCTCTGGAAACTCCAAAGCTCACCCTTTTCTCTCATGAGCCATAGTAGAATCTCCTTGTCTTAGGGGAAGGTCCCTGCTTATCTGAAATTTTGTGCACACCCACAAATAACATTGCCTTTTGCTTCATTCCCAAAACTCTGTAATTTATTTAAAGATAGTAGGGTTGGAAGAAACTAAAGCTGACAAAAGAGCAGGAAACTCAAATATTCTGTCAAACATCTCACCTTAGGTAAAGTATCAAATTGGCCGCCTGCTTGAGTGGGGAAAGGGGAAATTTAAAAAGAAGGAGCAACGGAAAAGTGTTCATCAATGTTGTTATGGCTTGTGTCTAGATGACCCCCTAAAGCCTCATGCGGTCATAGGTCAGGCTTTTTCAGAGGTGGCTGGAGCTACAGTGTGTGATGTTGGAATTGATTCATGATGCAACGCTAGGCTCAAGAGTTTTAGGATTAAGGGTGTAAGTGGCACCCAACCTAGGTAGCCTGGCTAAGATACAAGGGATAAAAAGAGCTGTGGCTGATCCTTGCTTGATGCTTTGTTACCTTCTGCTTCTGCTGCTACAAACTGCTTCTCCTCGGTGGTGTCCCCCTGCCTTGCCACCTTGCCTTGGAGCCAGCCAATTATAAACTGAAACCTCTATAAACTATAAGCCAAGTAAACCTTTCCTCCCTTAACTTTGGGTGTTAGGTATTTTGTCTCAGCAACAAGAAAAGTACTAAAACAGAATTTGGTACCAGAGAAGTGAGGTTGTTGCTTTGACTATACCTGACTGTGTGAGTCAGGCATCTTTGGGATTGGTTTGTGGGAAGAGTTTGGAAAGGTCTGGAGATGCTGGCTGAAAAAGCAGCCCTGGAAAACTTTAGGCTGCAGTTGATAGGAGATTGTGGTCAAAGTTTAGGAAACCAGAATGCTGATTTTTAAAAATGGTACCAGTAAAGACCAGGCTCAGGAGGTTGCTGTTGGGTGTGTATTATTTCTTGGAAGAAAGCTTGCATTTTGCTCATATCCAGAGACTTTGCCTGAGACTGAGTTTAAGGGTAGTGGACTAATTAATAGGGCAGAATAAATTTTAAGGCAGTCTAATGTGGAGGCGATTGTGGGATACTGTGGGATTATGGGATTGATTGACACTGTTGTGGGATTTTAGCCAGATTTATGCTGAGAATCAAGAGCACAGAGCCCAGCACAATGACTTAAAACATTTTGAGTTTGGCCAGAAAGGAAGGCCCAGTAAAGTTTCAGCCTGCAAAGATGGAACAGAGGAGAAACTGGTCTGTGAAAAGACTAGCAAGAAAAGGTCAAGTATTTCAGAAGAAGACAACAGAAAAGATAGCCTGAGGATATCACAAGAACCAGCAGGACTCCAGCCTTTGCAGCCCCAGAGTTGCAAAAATGAGAGACTTTGCTTTGAGAAGAGACCCCTGAGCACCGTGTTCCAGAAAGGTGGCAGCCTAGGGAAATTGTTCTTCCTTATTTGGTTCATAGGAGTTGGACTCCTACAGCCAAGAGAGAATGAAGCCTGGCTACTGCACCAGCTGGCAGCAGACGTTGGCATCATCCACGTAGTGCTGGCTTTAGGTGCATGCAGAATGTAAGAGTTGTGGGGTCAGGAAGATTTCCAGCCAGATTTCAGAAGGCCTGGGAGGCCAGGCAGTGTGTCCCTGAGAGGACAGTGTGTAAAGCTGTGAGTGCAAAGCCAAAGGTCCAGTGGAGATGATAGAGTTTGGAGAAGCCAGAAATGTGGATTGTTTGAGGAAAACTGCAAAGAGGGAGCAGAGCCAGCCCCAGAGAGAAGCTATGGGAGCTACAACCACAGGGAGTGCCCTCCCTAGGGGCAGAGGCATGCAAGCCCTTTAGAGTTCACAATTTACCACAGATTGCCGGAGATGCTGGAAGTGGAACTGTGGGATTTAATGTTTGCCCTGCTGGATTTTGGTCTTGATTTATTCCCATTCTTTGCTATCTCTCTGTTTGTAGCTTTTGGAATGGGAATGTCTATCCTGTGCCATTGAATGTTGGAAGTGCTTAACTTTCTTTTTGTTTGTACAGTGGCTTGCAGCTCTGCAAGTTTGCCTTAAATCTCAAAGGGGACTTTGGATTTAGACTTTTCAGCAATGCTGAAACTGTTAGAACTTTGCAACTCTTAGAGATGGACTAAATGCCTTTTGTGTAAAGAAGTCTTCAGCGAGCCAGGGGCAGAATGTTATGGATTATGTTTAGATGTCCCCCTAAAGCCTCATGTGGTCATAGATGGGGCCTTTTCAGAGGTGGCTGGAGCTAGAGTGTGTGAAGCTGGAATTGATTCATGGTGCAAAGCTAGGATCAAAGGCACTAGGATTAAGGGTGGGAGTGCTACCTGCCCTCAGTAGCCTAGATAAGATATAAGGGCTAGGAAAAGCTGTGGTCATCTCTTGCTTGTTTTGCTACCTTCTGCCTGCCATGAACTGTCTTTCCTCTGCAATTTCCCTCTGCCAGGCAGCTTTGCCTTGGAGCCAACCAATTATGGACTGAAGCCTCTACAAATTGTGAGCTAAATAAATCTTCCCTCTTTTAACTTTGGGTATTTTGTCTTAGCAACAAGAAATGTAACTAAGGCAAATATCTAGGAATATTACTTAACTGTAGTTTTCCCCTACTAAAAGATTTTGTATTTTCAACAAAGAAAGTTTATTTTTGAGTTTTTTTCAACCCTGTCAATAGCATACAGGTGTGACTGACTCCCTAAATTCCCACTCTATATGTCACCAATCCAAGTGAGTCAGAGCAACCTCATGTTGGCCAGTCATGGACTGACTGGCCTAAGCCAGGGAGGGTCAGTGGTATTCAAGGAGAGCCTCTCTCCATGAGGGCTCTGGGAAAGCACCCTCCTCCATCTTAGCTGCCCTGGAAAAGCAGCTCTTTCTTCTCTTGTGAGTTGACAGTGAGGAAGCTTGGCATGCTCACTGCCCCTGACAGTCACACTCCAGTAATAAAGGGTGAGGATAAAGCTGGGAAGTGGCAGAGCAAAGTAGAAAGAACCCACATCCTCGATGCCATCGTTCAGTCGCTGGTCCTGCCCTTACTCTTTGTCGTTTAACCCAGTGTGAGTTTTTTAAAATTAATTTTATTGGTACATTTAAGGTATACAATAAAATGACATTCGTCATTGGAAATTTTCACCTGTACATAATCCATCTTGGTTCTTTTTTTCCCCCCATTTCCCTGCCCTCCCTCCAACACCTCCATCCCTCCTCCCTATCTACAAAGACTCCGTTTCCATTTTTTCTTTTTCTCATATTACTTCCATTCCCTTCTTTCTTTTCCCTCACCCCTCCCACTTCCCCTTCCCCTTTGCACCTTTGGTTTTTCTATTACTTGTTGCTCAGTGCATTCTACCCAATTCAGAACTTGGTGCCAGGGATAAAAGGGCTGCAAGTGACAGGTTCTAGTGTGCTGCATGGTGGCCCACAACACGTCTACATGCTAATCCTTAGAACCTAGAGTATTATTTCATTTGGAAAAAGGACTCTTCAGATATAACTAAGTCATTTATTTTACCATTTTCAAGTTCAGTCAGATGTTGAAGGCATAAGTTAAAGGCGTTTTAACTTTTTAAAAATCATGTTTACTTTAATGCATGATTATTCAAGGTCAGAAGTTTCAACAGAAGTTTAAGGTGATTTTTTTTTCAAAATTTAGTTTCATGACTTGACAGTGTTACTAATTTCAAAGATTGATTCTTTTATGAGTAAAAACAAAAACAAAAACGAAAAACATGGTCTGAGAATCTGCATACCTGAGTTCTCTGTCTTGGCCACTAAGCTACAGGTAAGGGATGTGGCTCTAGAGGTAGTTACTTCTCCTGTAGACCTACCAGTGCCTTCCAAGTACCTACACACATCAGAATCATCCAGGTCTATTTCTGAGCCCCACCCAAGGTCTAATGAATCACGTTTTCTAACACTAGCACCCAAGAATATATGTTTCTATTTAATTGGAAGACTCAGATGTGTTTGAGCACTACTTATTTTCTGATTTCTGCTCCTTCTGTCACTGCCCTATCTGTGCTGACAGATATTGTACTATGATAAAAACACAAAATATACAACAAAACATCAAGACAATGATTTCATCATCTTCATATCTCTACCCCCTTCATAGTGCTTGGTAGGTAGTGGGCACTCTATAAATATTTGGAGAATTAAGAAATAGTGGTTAAATAAATGAATGTCATTTCACATGGATTCAAATCACCTATATGTAGAGTGAAAAAATATTTTAAACTATTGTTGAATATGCTCTTGAGCTCCTGACTGCTGTGCTGTGTCCTTCGGGAATGGGTTGTATGGATGAGGCTAGTGAGTATCTGGAGACCCACAGGGAGGAGACTGAGATTCTACTGCCAGCCAGATTATCCCAAAGTATTTCCCAGAGGTGGCAACAGATTGAGACTCAGATTTTCCCCTCTTCGACTTTTCCAGGCCAAGAAAAATTTGCATCCTGGCTGTCTTTGGGGCAATGTTGCAGGTCTTCAAATCTGCAAAGCCCACGTCAGGGTTGTGGGGTCCCCAGTGAGGGAGAGGAGGCTGAGCTCAGTGTCCTTTGTCACCAATACCCCTAGGACTTCTGAAACCACCACAGTCCTTCCTCCCTCCCCCGCTGTGCATTCCACCATTCAGCCCTGGAACCTTCCCAGCTCAGACACTGTCTGCTGGCTTTGGAAGGTACCGGCTCAGGATGAAATCTGTCAGAGGGGTGGGCAACTTTGCCAAGGGAATGTAGAGTAGTTTGGCATCCAGGCCAGGGTTGTAGCGGATACGAGGAGTCCGGGAAACAATGGCATGCTCCATACTATTGATGACATCAGTGATTCTCGGCTCTGCCAGCTGCATCATGTTGTTCAGCTTGTAAGTATCTGTTGGGAGAGGGGGAATGAAAGGCTCCGTTATGCTTTATGAAAACACTGTTTCTTCCAAATCCCATCCAAGTTAACATTTCAAAATACCATCCAGGTGTCCCTTACATAAAGCCCCACTTATAGAATCATCATAAATCATATTATTTCTCCTCCTAAATTCTACAGTGGTGCACTGAATTCCTACCATTGTAGCAGACTAACAATGAGAAGAGCTATGCCCAGTTCTCCTGATGTTGCCACTTACTGTATGACCTTGAGCATAAATCTTTATTACCCGTAAAATAGGGATAACAAACAGTACCTACCCTGGAAGCCAACAAACACGATTAAGAGTAGAAGATGGAGCATAGTGGCACAAGCTTGTAGTCTCAGCACTTGGGAAGCTGAGGCAGGCAGATTCCCGTGAATTCATGGCCAGCCTGGCTACATAGTGAGTTCAAGGTCAGCCTGAACTACATAAGAGAAATCCTGTCTTTTTAAAAAAAAAAAAGGAGGTAGAGTAGATGATGGGGGAGAACAGGATAGAAAATGTGTCTATATGCATAGAAAAATCGAAAGTAAGGAAGTAAAAACATTGTCTGGCTGGTGGGATTCCCAACTACTGGAGGCTTTTTATTTTGTATGATTTTTTTCTTCTATTTCTCACATATTTTTCTGCAAAAGCATGTTGGAAAAACAAATATTATTTGTTAAAAAATAGTTATCCTGTCCCTGACTTGATCATAAAGCCACTGTGGATGCAGATGACCCAGGTACAGACAGGTGCCTTGCTGGGTTCTAACACAGGGAGTTCACTGTCCGTGAGGTGCCCACAGAAATGGGGAAAGGAAAGGCCCCTCCTTGGGACTCCAAGGAAACTGGAGCCTAAGAGTCAGATTTCTCTTACATGGGATTAAAACTGGAAAATGAAAGGTGCCCCAACTCCGGGATGGCCTGGGTAGACAGAGTCAAGACTCTTCTAAGGGATTGGAGAAGACCGGCCAGGGTCACTCAGGTGCCCTTCACCCCAGACTTGGAAGAATTAACTTAACTCCCTTGCTGTTTTCTGGAGAGAACACTGCTAAAGTGAAAAGCCAACCAAAATTTTTGGGTCACTCTGAAAGCCACGCTGAATTAAAGGCAGACTGTCTATACAGCATGTAGGAAACCTATGACCTTAGACTTGTCACAGAGTCCACCACCAGTAAGGCTGAAGCAGGAAGGCAAGTGAGAAAGACTCACTCAGGTTTTCATGGCTCTTCACCCACTCAAGAGTGGGGAGAACTGAGAGAATGAAGAGCTGAAGGCAAGCAGACCTGAGGAGATGTTTGGGACACTGTCCCCTGAAGGGTGAGGAAGTAGTAGGGTGGAAAGTACCCAATCATGGGAGGTTGTATGAGGCACATTTTTTCAATGTTCTTGCAAATACTTCTATCAGCTTCTATTTTGTGTGAGCAGCCAAAAAGTATGGTGTGGGAAATGAGACAGGAGTTTCCATCTCATCCCTGTCACTCTCCTCAGTAATAAGGAAGAGCATGGACTATGGATGTGGACACTTAGGAAAGTGTTTCTGTTCTTAAGAGAATTAAGAAACACAAGTGTCAAATATTAAAGTTCAGGCTTTTGCTCTTTGGATGGTTCCAACATCTAAGTTTTATCCCTTTCTCCTTTGCAAGGGACAAGGTCCTAGGCTTTCTGCACACCACCCCCAAGAAGAAGTTGGGGCAGAAGGTCTAAGAGGAGAATTTTTGATGAAAAAAAGAAACTGAACCAGGATCCATGATCCTCCTCCAGCCAGTGGTACAGCTTCAGGTCTGTCAGGACCAGGTCTTCATTCCCTGTCGCCTGTCCCATGGTTCTGAGCTCTACTTCTTTGGGAAGGTGCCTATGTCAGTTGTTATTGAGGAGCCACTTCCAATATGGCTCCATTCTGGATATATTTAAAAGACTCCCAGTAACTGAAAGATAAGATCCGTGCCCCTCCATGCAACTGCCACAGCCTTTTACGCCCCATCCCCATTCTCTCTGCCCTCGGTCCCCTTTACACTTTCCTCATGCTCAAGGTTTGTTTCACTCATTATGCAACCAATTGGACTACATTCCATTTTTGTCCAGTTCTCCTAACAATCCATGAAAGAGAAATTATTATACTTTTTAAGTTAATAAGCCAAAGTTTACAGAGTTGTGTCACAGGATTATAAGGACTGCTGGAATCCGAACCCAGAATCCATACTACCTCCAAAGCACTCAATCTTACCTTGTTCTCCAAATGTAGCCATGTTCCTCCTTCTGTGTGCAATATCTGCCATCATTCCCTTTTTCTGAACTCCTATTCATCCTTTGAAACTCATTATCACCTCTGTGAGGTCTGTGTGCAATATCTGCCATCATTCCCTTTTTCTGAACTCCTATTCATCCTTTGAAACTCATTACGGCATTCATTATCACCTCTGTGAGTCTTTGTGACAGCAGAATTAAGTCTCTCTACTGTTTACTGTTGCTTTGTTTTGGACGCTTGTCCCTTATTGCACAATTCTTACATGATACTATAGTTGCTTTCAGATCTACCCTTTCTTTGTCTCACCCCTGCATCCTACTAGGTGCCTTGTGGAAAATAGAATGCAACTACTTGAGAAAGTAGAATGTAACTATTTATCTAAAGGTAGTTGCCATCTGTCTGATAAAGTTCCTTTGAAATCATGGAACATTTTAGGGGAATCAGCCTATAGTATTTTATAACCAGAATCCTTACTATTCTGCAGCATAACAATATCTGCTTTTTGACGAGTGATTTCCAGAGAAAGTTGGCCTTTGTACGGATGTGTTCCTAAGCTGCTTTAGAGACTCAACAATCTCTGCCTGCATTGAATACTTACTTACGCAATGGCCTTATGAAATTTCCAGACACTGGTTGGATCTGCATTTCATTCTAGCCCCATAAATAATCTGGACCATTCTTTGCTAAGTAAGTTTTACTGCAGTGGTGGCAAGCCTATGGCGTACATGCCACAGCAGACTTTGTATCATCAAAAGCTCTAAAAGGATTGCCATCATTGTTTTAGAGCAATCACACAGAGGATTTGTATTACACGCCCCCAAACCCCATCCCTGCCTACTGTCTTTTTCCAACAGTGGCGATTTCCCTTCGGGGAGGCATACCTCCCACATCTGAATCTTCAGTCTAGGCAGAGCATATGACCCAGCCTAAGCCACTAAGACCCCCATAGGTACAGAGATTGGCTCAGAGTTGGACACATCCTGAAGTTTCCTCTGGTCCAGCCACTACTCCAGGTGAGAATGAATTCTAGAACTTTCAGGGGAAAGAACTCTCTCCTTTTCCCAGTGGACTTCACTCTAGAGAGGAAGTGAGGAGAGGCATTCTGGGAAAGATGAGCCCCCCCACCCCACACAGGGAAGAGTTTGTGAGACTACAGTCAATACTGCACAAGCAAAGTCAAGAAACAGAGTGAAATCCGTTCCTAATTGTATTTTTTAGGGCTGGATCAGGCTGTGCTTAAAGTGGGGACTAATGAGAGAACTTCAGGCCAGGTGAGAGTGTGCCATTGAAGGGAACTGTGAGACCCTGCTCCCTTCCTCTTTCTATCTTCTTGTTCCAGGCCACAAAGGAAGCAGTTCTGCTCTGCCATACAACCCTGCCGTGATGTGCAGCCACCACCCAAAGCAACTGATTGTGGACTAGAATTTCTAAAACTGTGAGCCAAAAACACCTTTTCTCTTTATAAGTTGATTATCTTTGGCATTTGTTGTAGTAATAGAAAGCTGATTAACACATTCATCCAGAAATTCTGGGTATATTTCAAAAATTCATCACTTTGGATTTTAATATAAGAACTTATAGCTTGTAGGTATTATATCAGCATAACGGAGAATAAGAGGCCATACCAGTCTGAGAGAGAATAATAACAACAATCACAAAACTTAAACTGTTCTTACCAGGGACCAGGTGCTACTCTATACCTAGAATATAGGTATACTATACTCTATTCTACTCTACTTAGTGACTTTATGTTCATTTAACTCATTGCAGATGAGAACACTGAGAGGTTGTGGAACTTGCTCAAGGCCAGCATGCAAGCTGAAATCTGTACCTGCAGACTAGTTATGACTCTAAGAGCTTAACCACTACAGAAAATTGACTCTCTGGAGTGTTCATCGCAGCCACATAAAAGAGAAAAAGAATTGTTAGGGATAAAAAGAAAGATTAGGGAAAGCAGGCGGCAGCTGTCCGGAGGGAACAAGAGCAGGACCAATGGCAGCTGCTTCACTCTGGGCCAAGGAAACATTCTAATCAGCGCAGTGCCAGCCCCTCCTTCCTCCTCAGAGACCTGCGGGTGAAGACCAGCCTCTGTCAAGGGAGTTATCACCTAGTTGTTCAGAGCCAGTTTCTGTTGACAGAAGTTATCCACACAAAGGTGACCACAAAGGTTGTGCTAGGCTTCCTCCTATCTGGCCCCTGGGAGCTGTGAAATACAGAGACCAATAATTCTTGTATTTCCTCCCCTCTTGAAACCAACTGATCTTCAAGATTAGATGCTCTGAGTGAACACTAGTCTCACAGGCCTTTTTATCTTCTGCCAGAAAATGCTCCAACATCTGATGCAATTCCTCTTTTACTGCCTCTAAGGCCAGGCCCTGTCACGCTCTCCTTGAGGGCAGGCTCCATCCATCCCCAAACTGGGAAGTTTTAGCAGCACAGTCAACATCTAAATGCCCTTTCCTCACCCTCCAAAGCACCTAAGGTTCACAGGGGACATTTAGCTCAGGGAGGAGAAGGGAGCCACCGAGGGACCCATTCTTGTAAAGACCCAGGTATTTATTTTTATCTGTATTTAACAAGCACTAAGTGCAAAATAATTCGCACATATTAATTCTCTTAGCATCTCTTTCAAGTAGGCACTGTTATTATTTCCATTTTACAGAAGAGAGAACAGAGGCATGAGGAGACTATTGAAAACATCCAAAGTCTCCTAGCTGGTAAGTATAAGAGTCGGTACTTGAACTGTGGCAGTCAGCTCCAGCAGCCCTGCTCTTACTCACTTCTCTGTGCTCATCTCAGTGTGATATTTAGGGGCATGCACCAGGTATAGCAGCATCTTTCCTGTAGACATAGCACTTTGCTACTGTTCTTAACCCCAGCCTTGCCACTAGCTGTATCACTTTAGACCCTGAGTCTCATCATCTATAAACCAAAAGCCAGTCAGAGACTCCAAGATCTACCTGCCCCCACCCAAGACCTGGCTCCCACCCTGGTACTCACAGATACGGAAGTACTCCTCTCCGTAGCTTTCCTGGGTCTCCTGAGGCAGTCGCTCCCACATCTTCTTCAGTTTCTTATCGATGCCCTCCTTGCCCAGAATGGATGTCCTGTAGTTTCCCGGCTCAATGATGCTGACCTTCACCCCAAAGTAGTGCATCTCACGCCTGGGAAAATAGTTTCACTCTGGTGTAGGCCTCAAGATGACAGTCATTAAGGAAAGTCAGTTCTGGAAGGAACTATCTCTCCAGGACCCTGGAGGCATACACCCCCACCCCTAGCCGCTGGCCCAGGCATTGCCTTTGTGCAGTTCTTCCCAAAGACCTCAGTCCTTTCCCAAGCTCATCCAGTAATCTCTGGAAAAATTACATTTAGGTAGATGCAGCAGGAAGTCAGTGGAGAATCTAGGCCAAGACCTTCCACCTACTAGGTGCTTCCTACTCTCAGCCCCATGCCCTGCACCCATACAATAAAAGGGGTGATGAGATCTGCACAAAGCCGACCAGTATCCCCCTCTGAGGATACCTTTGTGCCCAGGCCTCTGCATCTGTTTGGGGGACTCTTTCTCACTCCTATAGACCCAAACAGTGCTTTCTGTGTACTGGGATTTCTCAGGGAAGGCCCACCTGCTCTCCTCTATCTCCAACCCACCTCTTCTCCACATCCTTTCTTCTGTTGGTAGTTGGGGAAGGTTCACTGAGATCCGGCCTTCCTCTTGCTGCTGTTTTAGCCTCCTTGCTGCAGAATACCCCTGCCCACATGCTAGGAACCCAGCCCTCTCTTTCTAAGTTAAAACTCCCTGGATCCCCACCTATAACACTTTGGTCCCAGGGCCCACTCACCTGATGCTGTCAGAGAAGGCCTCAATGCCAAACTTGGAGACACAGTAGCCACCACCAATGACAGCCACACGACCACCAGAGCTAGACATATTGACCACCCTGCCCCGGGCTTTCTTGACCATAGGCAGCATGTGGAGGGTCACATCGATTGTCCCCACCAGGTTCACGTTGATCACCTTTACAAAGTCCTCCTTTGTCAGCCATTCATTGGGACCACTGGGAATACCAACACCAGCATTGTTTACCAGGGCCCAGAGGCCTGGGGGTGAGATGGAGGGAGAGAAAAACACACAGGAATCAGCAGTGTCTCTGGGCAAACACCACAGACAATTATCCACCAGCCCAGGGTTTCTGAGGATAGCTGAGCTGGTGTGCAAGACACAAGGTGGCATGGTTGGGATGAGGCAGCTACAACAGCATGGTATGCCTTTTGTTAACTAGTGTTCTCTACTAAAGGGGCACTTTTCTGAATCAGTTATTTGGGTCTCTGTACCAGTTATAATCCTGGCTACATGTAGCTAAGATCACCTAAGCTATTAGCTCTGGAAAAAGAGATATCCTTTTCATAACAATGAATTAATGTTTAATTACCTCACCAGTCATGCTTCCTCTTTTCTATTCACTTAAGCATAAGAAACCAACTCCATTTCACCTCTCAACAAAGTCAATTCCTTTATTTATTTAATCCTTTCACACATTCATTTATTTATGCATTTACTCTTTACCAATTACAGGGCAAAGGAGATATAAAATGAACAAGAAAGGTCTTATCCTTTGAGATGCTCACAGACAAGATAAAATATTATTTATAAATAAATATATGATATTTAAATAAAAGTTATAGGAAAATATGGTAAAGACTCTCCTATTGGGTTGGATTGATAGATACGGAGTCCAATAAAGGAGAAAAATGCTAAATATGGTCGTTCACACCCACAGGAGCTCAAGAACCTCAAGTTCTACCTCTGCCTCCAGCCTTGGACAGGTCCCTTCCCTCTCTGGGTCTCAAGTTCTTCATCAGACTGATCTAGAGCAGTTGCTTCTGGCTTGTTTCTCAAGCCTGCTAGGGAAGCGCTGCAGAAAAAGCATTTCTTTCATTTGTTTTACATATTGAGCTCCCAAGTACAATTACACTGGAGAAAGATGACCCTCAGTGGCCTCTTCTAGTTCTTTCATCCAAAGATCCCATGAGTCCCACCCTCTGGCTCCTTCCTTTCCCCGTTCCCATCTCATTCCTCATCTTTACCAGCACAGCCTCAAGATACCCTTTCTGGGACAAATCACTTCTTTCTGATGGCCCGTCTGGATGCAAACTGTAATTCTGGTCCACCTATCCCCTGGCATCCTTGTCAAGTCATGCCCCCTGTCTTCCTGCCTTCCTCCAATTAGAGAGACTCTGGGAGACCAGCTGGCTGGTAGGACTTAGAACCTTCTCAGCTAGGAGACATTCTTGTCTTATAAAGGAGAAAAATGAGGCTTTTGAGACCCAAAGATCATAAAACTCCAGCAGTCTCTGACTGTGAGGAAGGGACACACACCACCACCACCTCTGATCATCCTGGTAAAGGGTTTCAGCAGAGGATGTCGTACCTGCGGGGGAAGGAAGACAACATTTCTATTCTTTTACCCCCCCCCAGCAAAGAGTAACCAGGGAATAGTGACCATAGGCCTAACAGTTTTAGAGCTGTGCCAACCTCATGTCGAGGCACTCTTAGGGGAAGCAAGAAAGCATGCACTAACTGTCTACCCTCTCCCCAGCTATAATTTCTAGTGCTTCTTAGATCAAAGATGTTGCCCAGTGGCATAGGCAGATTAATGGTCCCCCAAATATGTCACCATCCTAATTCCTGGAACCTGTAAATATGTTAGGCTACATGGAAAAAAAAAAAGGAATTAAGGTTTCAGATGGAATTAATATTGATCATCTACAGACCTGAAAATGGGGAGATTATCCAGGCTTCATGTGCCCAATATAATTACAAGGCTTCTTCTAAGAGGAAGAAGGCAGAAACTAGAGAACCAAAGAGATGGAAGAGTACAAAGAAGATGCAGCCCAACCTTGCTGGTCCTGAACTTGGAAAAAGTGGGCCATGCACCAAGAGATGTTGGCAGCATCCATAAGATAGAGAAGACAAGGAAATGGGCTCTTCCTGGGGACCCCAGACAAAAATAACCCTGTGGAGACCTTCATATTAGCCTAGTTAGGTTCATCTTGGACTTTTCTCTCAAGAATTGCAAGATAATAAAGGTGTATTGTTTTTCCCATCAACTGGAGACTGGACAAAGATGTGGGGTTGCCGGGTGTGGTAATGCACACCTATAATCCCAGCACTTGGGAGGCTGAGGCAGGAGGATCGCTGTGAGTTCAAGACCAGCCCGGGGTGCATAGTGAGTTAAAGGTCAGTCTCAACTACACAGTGAGACCCTGTCTCAAAAAAAAAAAAAAAAAAAAAAAAAAAGAAGAAGATGTGGGTTTTTCAAAAATATTAATGGCAGTACTACTCAGTCATAAAGAACAAGAAACTAGAGACATTTATAGCTAAATGGATAGACCTTGAGGCCATACTTTTAAGTGAAATAAATAGGACACCCATGTGTAAACACCAAATAGTTTCTCTGGTGTGAAAAACTAAAAGTGTAAATAAGTATCAAAATGTATAATTGATAATGTGAAATAGGAAGAAAAGGTCTAAAGGAGTAGGGGAAGCAGGAGTGGTAGGGGAAAGGAAAGATGGGAAAAGAAAAGAAAGGAATAATACGAGAAAATAAAAAAAATGGAAACAAAGTCTTTGTAAATAGGGAAGGGTGGAGGGGTGTAGGAAGGGCAGGGGAATGGGGAAAAAATATAAGAACCAAAATACATCACGTAAGGGTACAAGATCCCACTGATGAATGTAACTTTACCTAAAATGTACCAATAAACTTAATGGAGGGGAAAAATGTATTATTTAAGCTACTATATTTGAATGTATTTGCTAAAGCAACAATGGAAGACTAAGACAGTATATTGCAAGAGTCATGAACTCCATTGGCTTCAGGTTGAATGTAGGGGAGTGAAGCAGCCTGATGGGGAGGCTTAGCCTTGTTGAATTACTCATTAATTAATTTATTCAACAAATATTTGTTAAGCACTCTCCTAGGTACCAGACAAAAAGGTACTGAGGACATGGAATAAATAAAAGAGAACAAAAACAAAAATAAAACCAACCTGTTCCCAGGAAGCTTTATTCCAGCAGCAGCAACAAATAATAAATAAGTAAAATGCACTGTGTACTGGATAGGGATGAATGCTAAGGATAAAAGTAAAACAAGGAGGTTGTATCTGGCTCCTCCTGGGCCCCAGAGCTCACTGTCCTCACCTGGGCAGAGGCCTAGCCTCATTTCTTTGGGAATGAGTACTTCCCCAGGATACTGCTGCTTCTACAACCATGCTATCCTAGCCCGTTTGATCCTGTGCCTACACCCTTCATGCTTCAAGTTCTCTGGGCAAGTCCTCACACACTCTGGGTCCAGCCCCAAGCCCACCACCTCCTTTCCCGGGGGGAGCAGTGACTCTCAAGCAGCCCCCAACTTCGAAGAGATCTGCCTCTCCACTGTGTCACATAGTCAAGCACAGCAAATGCCCCACTCATGGAAACAAACCCTCTGTCCCCTTGCTCTGCCCTAGCATGTCAATAGGATGGATGATAGAACCACTGAAGTCTCTGAGAGGCGCCTCCATCCTTCAAGGTTTGGACATATAGAACACATCTTCCCTTCCTTACTTCTTATGCTTTGTCACTCTCAGTTTCTGGGAGAGAAACTCCTTGGAAAACCACCATGAACCTGCCAAAGTCAAACCATGCAGTAGGTTACAATCCAGCTGAGCCAGAGCCCTCCATCCCTGTTCCTTTCATCATCTCTCCCACCTATTTGGACAGCAGGGTCCGTGAGACTGTCAGATGCTGAGAGTAAGAAAATTGAGAAAGCCAAAGAATGCAGTTTTCCCTACCTTGCTCTCCCACTTGGTCCCTCACCCACTGGGCCGCAGCCTTGACGCTTTCAGTCTTGGTGATATCCAGTAGGATGGTCTGCAGCTGGTAGGAGGTATCCTGCTGAAGTTTCTGAGCCCCTTCCTCAGTAAGGCAAGCAGCCAGCACCCGCATGCCCCGTTCAACCAGTTGTCTGGCCAGCATGTTCCCAAAGCCAGAGTCACAACCAGTGATGAAAACATACTTCTCTGAAAGGTTGCGAACCAGATTGCAGTTCTTAAACCAGCGATACATAAAACCTAAGTCCGTGATCGCTGCCATTGGGCAGTGGGGCCCAAAAAAGACAAGGCTCAGGAAACAGCAGGAGAAGATGGTCCTCAGAGTTCGGCTGCCAGTCCACTGGGACACACAGGGAAGGAGAATTTCCACTCCTTGCCACAGATCAGGGCCGTTGGGTAAGCCACCCTATAATTTTTATAGGTGGATACATCACACCAATTAACCTAGTTGCAAGAAATTCAAGTCCAACCTGAAGATTTGTCACCTCTTCAAGCTCTGAGAGCCTCCCTCTCTCCCTCTGTCCTGATGAGTACTCGTGCCAAAAATGGGAAGGCCCCAGTGGCAGTGTAGGTGCCATGAGCCGTCTCACCCAGGTAGTATAGACAGGATAAATGAGAAAGAACTCAACCTAGATAGCCCCCAGGTGAAAAAAAAAAAATCCCCAGCCCTACTCGAGCCTAGGGATCAAAATCACCTGTCACAGGTATAGGCATGTAAATAAATTTAATTTTTATTTTCAGGGAAAACATAAGACTAATTTATAAATGCAAAGCAAACAATAATTGGTCTGTGCCCTCCCAGCCCCAAGAATGAAGTCTAGGTCTTCAGCTCTTTGGAATTCTTACATGGGTCTCCATCATGAAAAGGGATCCTATGGAGTGGATGCCTCTGTCGTCCTGAGGCAAGAGGCCCCTTCTGAGAGGGAAGCAGGGGATATGAGGCTCCAACTTTCAGAAAGTGGAAAAAGGTAAGGTACTCAAGGCTTCTTAGGGGGTCACCAGAGAGTAGCTCCCATTGCATTCCAAACCAGCCCACCATTCCACCTATCCCCACCCCCTGGTGAACTGGCCAATGGAGGAAACTGAGGACTGGAGGAATACAGTTCCCCTAGTCCAGGAACCCAGGAAACCATCTTCCTTCCACTCTAAGACCAGTCTGATGAGCTGAGGAGCCAGAAGGTGGGGTGATGACAGTGAAAGGAAGGGACTATGAAGCCAGCTGATGCAGTGGCTAACTGGGTGTGCAGAAGGTAGGGAGGCCAGGAGTCAAAGTGATTCAAAAGTATGGGCCACTGTAATGACAGACAGGGCCATAGGTAACAAGAGAAGTCGGGTAAGACTTGGCATGGCAGCTGGTGGATAAATCTGATGTGGACATCACAGAAATGATGTCCATCCAGATGACGAGGCTGGATGGTGAGATCACGGGACAATGGAGGGTAGGGCCTGGGCTGAGTCCTTGGCTCTGAGAAAAATGATATATGGAAGAACAGAGGCTCTGCTTCTATCAGAACAGAGGCCAAGAGCCGGAAAACGTCAGTCAGGACTTGGAGGGAAAGGAAAGATTCTGGGCAGTGGAGCAGAGAATACACAGAAAAGTAGAAGGGAATCTGCTAAAGCACAGGAAATAAGGAAACCAGACAGGCCTGAGTCATGAGGGGCTACAACCAGAATTGCAAAAGGCACGGGGGCAGAATGGTGTCGGGGCCTGGAGCGATTCCGTGGTTCAACCTCCACATATGTCACCATTCCTCAGGACAAGTCTGCTCACCGGGTCACAGCTCCCTCCTTTAGAGGGTGTGGCACAGACATGTAGCCACAGCTCATTAGAGGGAAGGATCTGCAGCTTCATGCTCCACTATTTACCAACTCTGGCCAGCTCCAGAATCAGATAAAGCATGTGTCACCTGAGAAGAACCTAGCAGGGTTTGGCCATTCTGTACCAAGAATAGTGGGGTTAGTAGGGGGTGATGCCCCCCTGAAGGGCACATCCAAAGCCTATAGTGATGAGGTAAGGAGTGGTATGAGACCAGCTTAATGCATCTCAGGCCTTTCCCAAGGCACTGCTCACACTGCTGGATTGGAAGCATCCCTTACTCTGCTGGCCTCTTCAGCGAGTGAACAAGTCATGACTGGGACAAGTCAGGCAATGTCCCCAAAAGGCCGAGCAGACCCAGGGACAGTATGTGTTCCAGTTCATGAGGACAAAGCTGCAATCTTTGAAAGTTACACATGGTTTTGTTGGTTTCGTTTGGTTTAAACACAGTCTCACTATGTAGTCCATAGCCTCCTGCCTTCTGGGATGCTCTTGCCTCCACTTCCCAAGTACTGAGATACAGGTACTTGCCACCAAGCTTGGCTCCTGAAACTTTCATGAAACAGTCAGAGAGCACTAACCTGGATAAGACTTCCTTACTTGGGGGAACAAAACAGAAGAGAAGCCCTCATAGGTGTCTGCTGCTGACACTCCCACAGCCCCATCTATTCACCCCGAGACTCCTGCACAAGCCATCCAACAAGTCCTTCTCTGTCTACATCTTGAGAAGGGGCTTAGCCAGGCACCAGCCCTGTACTGCTGAGCACCTGGATCTTCCCCACTTGGCTTAGGGCACTGTCTGAGCCAGGTCACCTGCTGGTATCTGGGGAACCCAGCTCAACCTCATGGCAACCACTCTTTCCAGCATCAGAGTGACACCATCCGTTCCTTCATCTCCAAGGAGGATGGGGTTCTGCAGAAGGGAGACACAGAAGAGCTGGAAAGGACAGGAAGTGGGAGCCCATTGGGTGCATCTGTTTCCAACCCTACAGGCTGGAGACCCTACTCAGTCTAGGTGGGGAACCAGAAATGAAAAAAATACCCATGCACTACTTAGGGACCAAACATCTAAGGGCTGGAGACTTGAACTTGGGACTCACTGACCCTGTGCTTCTCACAGGGGGCCAGAACAGCAGAGTGAAGGGATGAAGTGCCTTCCTGTGGCATCTCCTGCACTCTGATGAGCCGAACTCCAGTCCCAGAGGACCCAGGCCTGCCCTCAAGAAAGAAGCCTGGAAACAAAGATGAAAAGGAAACAGGCCTCTTCTGAAGTCTGGAATAAGGAGTTGGACTGCTCTACATGACACTTCCTTTTAAGGCCACTTGTCATAGCCAAGTTGTCACCGTGGAGCCATTTAGGGTTATAGAGTCATCCTAGGTGATCCCTTTCCCCTCTGACAGTGTAGCATGGGTGACAGGGACTTGTACCCTCACAATTCCCTCACCCTCTGCACAGGACTCAGGGAAAGTGGGGGCATCCAGGGGCAGAGTCCAGACCTTGTGAACACCGACTCCAAAAGGCTATCAAGTGAAACCATTTTAAATTTTACTTCAGTGTGTTTTATATATGTGAGAGTGCTTCTGTGGGAGAGGGGGCTGTCTGTGTTTGTATGTAAAGACAGCTATAAAATTCAGGAAGCTTCACACTAATTATTAAGCTCTTGCTCTGTATTTTGAATGAGCTGACATGAGGCATTCAGAGACTGGGCTGTCCACAAAGATTCTTCTTGGTAGTCCTTCATTCTTCAACATTCACAGTCCTGATCTAGCACTCCATATAAAGTTTTTTATTGTTGTTTTGTTTTGGCACTGGGGATAGAACTCAGGACCTTGTGCTTGCGAGGCAGGCATGGTGTCACTGAGCTAAATCCCTGGAGCTCTATAAAAGTTTTTAAATGGATGACCCCCAAACATCACCTAGAACTCCATTAATATACACTGTACATTTCAACCAAGCATGTTGGGGCAAACATATAATCCTAGCTATTCAGAAAATTGAAGCACGTTCAAAGCCAGCCTAGGCAACTCGGCAAGACCCAGTCTCAAAAATAGAATACAAAGCTATGTAGCTCAGTAGTAGAACTCTTGCTTAGCATACAGGAGGCCCTGGGTTCAATCCTCTATATGAAAAAAAATGTAACCTTAATGTTTCAAAGTATCAGTTAAAAATGAAATGAATGGCTCTGCAACAGGGGCCATAATTTCCTGTTTTCACAATGTCCTCTGGTCATTGTTTAAGCACACAAGGTTTCCTAAGGGCTTCATACCTTTAACCTTTATATTAAAGAAAAAAAAAAACTAAAACACAAGGAAGGTATCTCTCAACTTCAGTTTTTATTTAGCTCAGGAACCTCTATGGCTTTCTACATACACATTCTCTATTCAGCCCACACTTGAAAACATCATCACAATACTGCAATATACACAGCTGGGTCTCAGGAAGCCAAGAGTAACTCAGCATGCTACCCTGCATACAGGAGGTGCTCAACAAAGGTTGAACAGAAAAGGAAAGACCCACCTCCAGAAATGTGACTCTGAGTCAATGCCACTGGACATGTGTGGGAATAGAACAGAGGCAGGGGACTTGAAGACATCGGTCAGAATTACAATGACTCAAAGGGGAGGGTTGGTCACTGAGGGCCGCAGGGAGTATGTTGCTAAGGGCAGGAAGGGATCTTAGGCCTGCCTATCCCTGCTGTACATCTCCTTGCTTGCCCATTCATCTATCTAGTTCTATGAGCTCAATTACTAGGATGTTTAGGAAGGAAAACAACTTCCTAATTTAGTGGCAGGAAAACCTAAGCAAGGTGAGGGGTAATCCAACCTCCTTTATTTAATCTTACCACAAGTCATGCCTCTCATGCCCCAACTTTTGTAAAGGTGCCTGACTCTTTCAACCACACCCCACTTCTCCTCCAGGCACTGATGAAAATCACTGGGCATGGGTGATCTTTCCAAATACCCAAATAAATAAATTGGGTTTATGTCCTCTGTCAGGATCCCTGTTGAGGAAATCACCTCTCAACCAATACCTAATACCTAAGGGGACAGACTGGTGGCTCCCCTCCTGCCCTTCACCACCTACACAGTGATTGTAAAGGACAGGGGCTCCTACACTGCCCAAGACATTCCTATATTGTGGGAAGACAGACAGTGCCCAAGACCAACGCATACCCTCTGGAGGAAGTGAAGAGGCAAATGAGGGATGGACTGTGCACCCTCCCACATGCTCCCAGCCACCCCAGGTGTGTGTATTCCTCATGGTTGGACATGCTGCTCAGAGCCCTGAGCAGCTGCCTAAGTCAACTGGGTGGGATCAGTGAGTGCTGCTGAACCCTTAATCCTCAGCAGAATTCCTTGGCTCTTTCTTTCCCACTTCACCAGTCTTGAGTAATACCTGAGAAAAAGTCTTTGAACCAGAAAGGTAACCTGGTGTGTGAGAGCTGCTTTCCTTCACCCACTTCCCTTCCCCAACGAAGCCCATCCCTCACACAGTACCCACCTTTCCCCAACCATACACACAAGAGTTGGATTTACAGAGCTTTTGCTGGCTTTGGGGAGCCCAAGTACACAATGGCATCCACCAGGAACGTGGGCAGGTAGCTCAAGGGGAGGTAAAAGAGCTTGACATCCCAGCCAGGTGAGTAGCGGGTGCGAGGGTGACAGGCAGTCAGCGCATGTTCCATGCAGTCAGTCACCGTGGACAGGTCTGGTGTCCGCACTTTCTCCAAAAACTGAAGATGATTGAAATCTATAGAAAATGAGAGATGATCCAGGTACATTTCCATCTCCCACCATTCCTGTTCTGGAATCAGCTTAGGGAGGAAATTTTCCCAAAGAATTCATGCTCCTCACCCCCAGAAGCTTTGCTAAATAAAATCTAGCCAAATTCGCCAGGAAGTGCCACACTTCATTCTCAACAAACTGCTGTTCCACACTAAGCCACCTTTGCATCTCTTCCTGGAATATCTGGGCTGCATAAATTGAAGGTCTCTTGAACACTGGAAATTATCAAAGCATGTGATATAAATTGCTTCTCACACCAGAGGGCCATAAGGACACATGCGTCACCCTCTATGGCTAAACTTTACTCCTTATGATAATGAAGAGTTCAGATGAAAAAGTGTCCCATGTTCTATTAAAACCCTCCCTTAGGTGACCAGAACGCACATTGCACCAAGGAAATGGGACTAAATCTTCTCATTTTGTGGAGAGACAGAGCTTAGGACAGACCTCATACTATTGAAGACACTAATACTATACGGAAGATTCCTGACAGCTGTTTGCTTCTCTTCCCACTGTCCACGGCTCACTCACAGGATTCCAAAAACTTCTAGCCATAGATCTCCTTGACTTCTGTGGGGGTCCGCTCCCACACCTTCTTCAAACTTTTCATGAGTGTTTCACTATTGATTAGTTGGTCTTGAAGAAACCAAGCTCAATAATAGCCACCTTGACCCCAAAATAGGAGAGCTCCCTCCTGCAAGGCACACAGCAAAGGGCAAGGACTTCAGCGTCTTGGTAGGCAAAACACAAACAATTGAATAGAACAAAAACACTTTAATGTAAGACTGGTATGAGAGAAATTTGAAAGCTTAGAATCTATAATGTGCAGGAGCTTAGGTTTAAAATGATGGTGATAACTTGTCTCTCTGTGACTGAATCTTGTTCCAAGCATTTTACATATGCTAGTGTAGTGCTCTAAATTCTACCTATTCTGCTTTAAGGAACCCATGAAAAGCTAGCTAAGGTTGGACATTGTGCACACACATATAAACCACTGTTACTGTGGATGAGGCAGGAGGACATAGGATAGAAGCTAGTCTGTGGTACAGAGTGAGATCCTGCATGGAAAAGAACGCATACACACTATCTACTGTTTTCTTCATGTCTAATGGCTCTCCAGTCTTTGCTCATATCACCTCCTCCACAATTAAGCCTGACCTCTCTCTCTCCTACCCCAAGAAGCTCCCCAGCCCACTCTCAGCAGGACTTCTGCTACTGTCGTCAAGGGAATATTACTGAACCTGAATTCAGCCCTAGCACCCTACATTCTGAGTCATTTTTGCCTTGCAGCCTGCAGGGTCTCTGTATTCTGACTGGCCTAAGGGTCTCCCATAATTCAATTTCTTCTAGGAGAAATCCTGAAACAGCATGAAGTCCTCCACACTTGCCAAGGGCCTAGGCCTTTTGCAAGACTACCTATGCCTACCTGCCCAGCAGATCTCCACAAACCATGCAGCTACCATGGTCACCATAGCTGACTTGGTCACAACTTCTCTAAGAGATGACACCCATGGATCTATGTCTTTTCTCTCATACTCACATGCCAGAGTTCCTAGCTCAAGAACACAACCTTAATGCTGCAGAGAATGCATTCGTCATACACACAAACAAGAGCCCAATAAGTATCTGTTGAGTGGGTAAGAAACCTCAGGACACAAGAATTGTACTGGTCATGTGTGTGGATCTGGGCCCAAATTATCCCTGTTCCAATTCAGCCTCATAGATTTTCCATCTGTGAGCCCTGCTCCAGGGCAAGAGAAGTTTAACTGAACTCAGGCCTTTCCTCTACCCAAGACATGGAATGGTGGTTCCCAACAAATGATCAACTAAATCCAGAAGGGGAAGTGAAAGAGTCACAGTGCCAGATGGAAGGCTCCCCAAGATGGGCCTCTAAGGCTGGGACTCACTGAAACCTTCAAATAAGTTTCTCTGAAACAATGGAAGAAGCAGGACCAGGGGACCTGGTCCAGTATCTGAGGATGTCTGAGAAGGACTCCACGCCGTACTTGGAGATGCAGTAGGCACCACCGCAGAGAGAAATCCGACCCATCATGCTGGAGACATTGACCACACAGCCTTGCACCTTCCTCACTAAAGACAGCAGGCTCAGAGTCACCTCGATGACCCCAAACAAGTTCACATTGAGCGTGTCCACAAAGTCCTGCTTGGTCAGCCACTGACTGGGAGCAGTGGGGATGGAGATGCCAGCATTATTTACCAAGCCCCAGAGTCCTAGGAACAGTGAGAAGATGAGAGACACACTGTGTGTGTGTGTGTGTGTGGTCACAGTTATGACTCAAATTCACTTTCCAGCAATGGAAAGTATTTTCTCCTGGGAAGGAAGAAGGACAGAACGCAAAACAACCCAATGTCTAACACAAAACAGCTCAATATCTGCAAGACTCAGGAGACAGATCTTGGAGCTACTGGAGCTATTTTTTTCACCTCTGATTCTTCAAGGCCCAGCTCACTGTCCAGGAGGTAACAGGCAGTACTTTGTATTTGATCATTATGAGAATAGATGTTGAAGAAATAGTATGCCTCCATTACTACGAAAACTACCTTTGGCCTTTTACAAATTAATGTCACTTTTACAGACATTTTATTTTTTCAGATATTCTGAGCATTTTATACACAGTCCTGCCCTCTGTCAAGGGAAACTGAAGTAGGAGAAAGAAAGGAATAGAAAGAGAATGAACAGAAGGAAAAGAAAAAGGAAAAAAAAGACAAGAACAACATATGGGTAGTATTTGCTGAGAAACAAAGAACTGCTAGCTGGGGGAGAATTTGGAAAAGAATAGTGTGTTCACCCTCAGGTAACTGATCTTTGAACCAAGACTGTCAGTACCAGACAACCTTCCTGAGAGTGTGCTTGCAAAACCCAACAGATAGCCTTAAACTGCAGGCACAGTTACCATCCCGTACTCCACTACACACCTCAGCAGTCCACCAGAGAATGGCATGCCACTTCCCACCCACAGGGCCATCCTGGCTCATCCTTCTTGGTCCCCAGGTCACATATCTTCAGGTAGCTACTCTAGAAGGCCCGAGCCCCAAAACTAAGACCAAACAGCATTTTTTCTCCCCACATGCACTATGGGCTGGGAACCACTTTTGTGGCTAGGGATTTTGCTGGATGATGCAGAACACCTGGCCAAGGAAGCCTGCGCCTCCTCTGCCTAGAAATATACCCTGTTGTTGTGGGAAAACACATTATATCACTAACATACTTTATCTCTAAGTACCTAATGATGCAGGTGTCTACAGAGATTTAAGTAAATAAAAGTTTACCAAGATGGCATTTATGACAATAAAATGTATAAACAATTCTAATATCTACCATTCTGTGCATTTAAAGTATTAGGGCTGTAGCAAATGATAGAATAGTCCAAACCATTAAATCTTATTATTTGAAGAAATTTTCATTAGGTAGTAAAACTGCTCCTCTTCGGTTTTTAACTGAGAGAATAGGCATAAAATGTGCAGAAAATAAAATCCCAGATAAGTCAAACTTAATAGTATTTATCCCTGGATGGTGAGGGAAAAGCTTCATTTTGCTATGACTTTATACATCTCAGTATTTTGATAAGAATCATATTTGCCATTTCTTCTTGGTTGAAAGAAACCAATGCTCTTTTCTTCTTTGGTAGCAACACAGACAAAATGCTGCAATGAAAGAGAAAGCAGAAGTGACCCCTAGTTTTTTATTTTCCTGAGCCAGTTCTTCATCTCATGCATGTTCTGGAAATGGAAAGATCTTAGCTCTCCGAGTGGAAGATGCTGAATACCCAGTGAAACTAAGACCCAGCTCCAGCATGCCCCCAGCCACCACATAGCCCAGGGAGCCAGTCCCCAGCCCTCCTCCAGAAAGATAGCCCAACTCTAACCAGGCACTCAGCATCCAGCAACCCAGAACTTCTGCTCAGAAAGGCAGGCAGAGGACAGAGAGGAAATCTGGAAGCCAGGTTCCCAACAGGGCACCTCCCTCCAAGGCTAGACGGTTCCAAGGGTGGGAGGTGGGGCAACAGGAGAGAGAAGGAGCTCGAGCTACCACTGTGGGGAGGGGAAGGAAGTTAGTCTTCCTTCAAGCATCACCTCCTCAAGATTCCTTTAAAATCTCACCAGGGAGCACATGGAAGGTGTCCCCTTCACAGACAGAGAAGAAACCAACAGACACAGACAGGAATCTGTGTGGTACCTCTGTCCCCCACACGCTCCTTCACCCATCCGGTGGCTGCAGCGATGCTCTCTGTCTGGGTGACGTCCAGGATCACCGTCTCCAGCCGTGCCAACGTCTGCTTCCTCAGCTGCTCGGCCCCCTTCTCTGTCAGACACGCGGCCAGCACCCTCAAGCCTCGCGTGTCCAGCTGTCTGGCCAGCAGGTTCCCGAAGCCCGAGTCACAGCCCGTGAACAACACATACTTGTCTTGGGGGTTGCTCACCACCTGCCTCTCCCATACCAGCGCACGAGGTGGTACAGGCCCACGAGGGCTGACAGGTACAGCAACATGACTTTGCAGAGGACAGGAACAGACAGTGTGTCAAGACAAGAGTCTGGCCTGTCTTAATCTAAAAGGAGAAGAGGAAGTGAGAATCCAGAGGGCTGTTGAAGGCACGTAGCCTCCAGATTCCCTAGCATGGAGCCTGCATATCACTGTCTTTCTGGAACATGTCTATTAATTAATCCTTCCTCCACTTCTCTGCCCTTTGGACTGCTTTTGTTTTCTTGCTATCTAGCTGCCTTTGAACACCTTAAGTCCTGCCTCCAAGGAAAACATGAGTCTAGCTCTTCAATCCCCCTTCGCTTTCTTGTGCCCACGGAGAAACACATACTTCACAGCACCTGCACCTCTCAGATCAGGTTCCAGGTATGGTCTGTCTAAATCTATTTGCTTGTCAGAACCCTCAATCATAGAGTTCCTAAACACAGGTAGGTGTTGTTGGCAACCTCCACTCATAGTCAAGGTACATTTACAATGAATTCTCTCTCTGAACACAGATTTCCTCCTCAGGCTTGCGATCTCAAATCACGCCTCCACATATCAAGTCGCTGTCATTCTCTCCAGTACTGCAAGGATAGTCCAGAGAATAGTGAGGACACCAAAGGGGAATTTGAAGTCTGAGACAAAATGAAGAAGGAGGTAAAGAAGGTGTGCGGGGTGTGGCAGAAACTGTCAGGAATGAAATTCCCAGAGCTGATGGGAGGGTGGAGCAGAATAACTTGCACAAGACAAGTATAGCAGTAAAAACTTTCATCTACCGAAGGTGGCCTTTCCGCAGCCTAATGGATGCAAGCATGACTAGCCATCTTGAATCATAACCACCATAACTGCCCAAGAATAATCCTAGCTGGCTTTTCCTGTACGCTTTCTAGGCAAATTACAAGCAGATGAAACTTTAGTGTGATGTGTGGAATTTTACAAGGCCATGGCTCCAGGAAAGTGCCTAACTCTGGTGCCAGCTTAAGTTAAATCAAGTCCATTGCACCTAGAATGAAGCTAGAATTTTGTCCTAACCCATACATAGAACTCTCTTTCTGACCCAAATTGCAGGGCTCCAACCAATCTTGTTGCCGCACAAGACCATGTTTCGATTTGTCACTCAGTCCCCCATCACTACGCTTTGTACAAACCTAGATCTCTCTGCTTCTCTTAGCTTATGGCACCTTGGGGCCTGTTCTCACACACTAGGACTGAGTTGCTCCAGGTGCCTATAACATGCCCTCCACCCTCCTGCTCTGGGGTCTCCAATTCACACATCAGAATGCAGTCCTCTCAGATACTGAGGGGCTAAGACCAGAAAAGACTCAGATGAACAAGCACCACAAAGTCAGCGGGGTTCCCTGAATCTTGGCCAGGCCCTCAGTGCCAAAAACAAAACCACTGGAAGGATAATTTTTCAGTGTGTAGCCAACGCAAATACATGCATGGAGCTTCCCCTGAGAAGACCAAAGCCAGGGCTGGAGACTGGACTTCACAGCCCACGGAAGGGTTCTCACTGTGAGTCAGGGGACGCCATTTCACAAGAGCAAAGTGGGACAGGACACTAGGGGAATTGGAAGGAGAAGAGAAGCCAGGGTTTTACAGCTCTGAACTGCTCCCGACTGTCCACACCTACCAATCTCTGACCGGTAAATAAAGGAGTAAGAGACCAACTTGAAATGAGAAATATCCTATAGAAACCTGAGGCTCAAGTTTTTCCATTACACACCCCAGAAAAGGGACCAAGGGACTGTACCTATTCAGTTATATGTACGGGCTAATCATTCCTTAATGCAGGGAACAGACCACTGACCTGTAGAGCTCTTCCCTCTTAGTGCTGCCTCTCCCTGCTCCTTCTCCTGCTCTTGCTTCTGCTCCTTCACCTACTCATCCTCAGCTCCTCCCACTGCTCCTGCTGTCCTCCCCCTCAGCTCTTGCTCCTGCTCCAGAACCTGTTCATGCTCAGCTCCTGGCCCTGGTCATGGTCCTGGTTCTGGTCATGGTCCTAGTCCTGGTCTTGGTCCTGCTCCTCCTCCCTCTTGTTTCATGTTCATGCTATGCTCAAGGGTGGCCGCACAGACCCTCCTTCATTAGCTTATTAAAACAATCAGGAAGCTAGGAGTCCAGAACATTTTCATCAGATAATGAAAACAACAAATCCCCATTCTGGCACCTCAGCCTACTAAGAGAAGTCTCAGGGTTTCTTGGTCTGGAACAAACTGCAGGTTTTTTCTTAGTAATGGCAGGTTCTGTCAACTGAAAATGTACAAGGGCATCCATGCACAGTGATATTTCCCAGTGTTTAGAAATGCTACTTCTCCGTCACTCATCCTGACAGGAATATAGCTTCTTGTCGGCATTCTTCCAGAATGCTCCAGGTTCTACAGCAGTCCCTGCAAGTTTTGTGTTATTACTATGAATTTTGCTTTGTTTAGGACAGGGTCTCATTATGTAGTCCCTGAGGCAACCCTCATGCCTCAGGCTCCCAAGTTCTGGAATTACAGGCATGGGGAACCAAGCCTGGCTCCTGAAAGTTTCATGGAACCAAGAAAAGGAACCTAGGTGAGACACCCTCACCCGGAGACACAGGAAGGAACACAAGTCTTCAGGGGCATCTGCTGTTGACACTCCCACAGCCCTATCCACCCGTTCCCTGAGACTCCTGCACAAGCCATCCAACAAGTCCTTCTCTGTCTACATCTTGAGAAGGGGCTTAGCCAGGCACCAGCCCTGTACTGCTGAGCACCTGGATCTTCCCCACTTGGCTTAGGGCACTGTCTGAGCCAGGTCACCTGCTGGTATCTGGGGAACCCAGCTCAACCTCATGGCAACCACTCTTTCCAGCATCAGAGTGACACCATCCGTTCCTTCATCTCCAAGGAGGATGGGGTTCTGCAGAAGGGAGACACAGAAGAGCTGGAAAGGACAGGAAGTGGGAGCCCATTGGGTGCATCTGTTTCCAACCCTACAGGCTGGAGACCCTACTCAGTCTAGGTGGGGAACCAGAAATGAAAAAAATACCCATGCACTACTTAGGGGCCAAATATCTAAGGGCTGGAGACTTGAACTTGGGACTCACTGACCCTGTGCTTCTCACAGGGGACCAGAACAGCAGAGTGAAGGGATGAAGTGCCTTCCTGTGGCATCTCCTGCACTCTGATGAGCCGAACTCCAGTCCCAGAGGACCCAGGCCTGCCCTCAAGAATGAAGCCTGGAAGGAAAAAGAGGAAATGGAAAGAGGCCTCTTCTGAAGTCTGGGAAGAGGACTCAGACTGCTCTACATGACACTTCCTTTTAAGCACACTGCTGTTCAGTCATCACCAAGTTGACACCCTGGAGTCACTTGGGGGTATAGATTCAGCCCAAGTGGACAACAAACACCCTCATGGAGTGCAGCATGATGACAGGGACTTGTACCCTCACAGTTCCTTGACCCTGAGGTGAGTCCAAATCTTGTGAACACCAACTCCTCCGGGCTATAACATGAAACCATGATTTTTAATTTTACTTCAGTGTGTTTTGTGTGTGTGAATATGCTTCCTGTGAGTGAGGGGGGCTGTTAAGAATTATAAAATTCAGGAGGCTTGACACTTTTAAGCTGTTACTCTGTTTCTGAGGGCATCATGTGAATTGACTTTGAATGAGCTGGGATGCCATTCAGAGACCCGGAGCGCCTCGAGGATTTTTCTTGGTCATCTTTGTTTCTTCAAAATGCACAGGCCTGATACAACACTGGATACAAGTTTTTAAATGGATGGCCATTCATATGCACTGTACATTTCAGCCAAATGTTGGGGCAAACTTATAATCCTAGCTACTCAGGAGACTGAAGCAAGTTCAAAGCCAGCCTGGGCAATTTGGCAAGATCCTGTTTTAAAACTGCAAAGGACCAGATATGTAGTACAGTAGTAGGATGCCTACTTAGCATGCAGGAGGCCCTATATTCAATTGTAGATACTGAAAAAAAGTACACTCTTAATGTTTGCATGTATTGGCTGAAAATGAAATGAGTGGCTCTGCAACAGGGCCATAACTTCCTGTTTTCACAATGCCTTTTGGTCATTTTTCAAATATACAAGTTTCTCTACAGGCTTCATTTTCTCAAGCTTTATACTGAGAGAAGAAAGCTAAGCTACCTCGGAGGTATCTCTCAGCTCCAATTTGTATTTAGCCCAGGAATCTCTAGGGCTTTCTGCATACACATTCTCTGCTCAGTCCACACTATAGAACATCATCACAATACTGAAAACATACACAGCCGAGTCTCAGAATGCCAGGGGTAGCTCAAGGTGCTACCCTGCATGCAGGAGGTGCTCAACAATGGTCGAGCTGAAAAGGAAAGACCCATCTCCAGAAGTGACTCTAAATCAATGCACTCCGGGGCTGTGAGAGAAGAGACACGGGACTTGAGGAATGGCAGAATTACAGTGACTCTAGAGGGAGGGTCGATGGGTGGGAGATGGGGAGAGGCTTCAGCTTCCTAGAAAAGAAATTGGGAAGCTTCCCCTCCCCTTCCCGCTGTCTCTCCAGGTCTGCCCCCCACCCTCTGCGCACCCCCTGCTCCTGGGCACACCGCCCCGTTTTGCGGGTGGAGTGTTGGCGGCTTCGTTTTGCCACGAGTTTACCACAGAAATCAGCTCCGAAATCCAGCTCAGCGGCTGCAGCAGGAACCCTACTGGCACCCGAGCAGCTGAGGACGGCGGCAGCTGTTCCTTCTCACCAGAACATCAGAGCCCTCCAGACCCAGGCGCCCCAACAGTATCCTGTTTACCTTCCTGCAGGCCTTTGGGTTCTCATCTCATCATCCCGGGAGAAATGCCTGCTGCCCACCTCAGCCCGGCCAGGAGAGGGGCTGGTGCTCAAGCCCCGGCTTCGGGCTTGCCAAGCTTTTAGGGTGCCCAGCAGCAGCCCTGAGAGGGACCTGTGGACCCTCTGCAGCACGGGGAAAACTAGCCCCACCGGCCTTGCTTCTGTTCCTCAGCCCTGCCTTTGAGATGTAGAGACCCTTGTCTCTTCTCCCCTAACCCCCCTCCCCATTATCGGGCAAGATTTGCTAGTCCCTGGAACCAACCCTGCTGGAAAGGCTTTTCTCCGTTGTGAGTCCTACACCTTCCCACTCCGTCCCCCTTATCTCCCACAGAAACAGCAGGGCCTGGCCCACTTTCCCAAGTATCATTAGCAACGCGTAGTAAACTTCTCTGGTAAATTTACTGTTTGAGACTGGTCAGCTTGTTCCTGAGTTAAGTTGGATTTCCAGTCTTTGGTGAAAGTATAGGAAAAGCACTTCCTTTGGCTAACGTTTTTTTAGCCATCATGGGAGTTGTGCTGACAATCTGAGGAGGAAATGTTACACTGGATGCTTTCCAGTCTGACCTTTTCAAAGGAAGAGGAAGTTAACTGACGTTGCCTATCTCCCCTAAAAGTCCCACTTCTTGGAAGGCTTGGGTTATGCCAGATATTTTTTAAGGGCCTTAATATGCTCTTCCATAGGCCTAATATAAATAAGGTACCTGGGCTGAAAGAAAGTCCAGTATTCATTGAGTCCAGTGCATGTTATTCACTTGGTTATAGAATTTTGGACATCTTTGACTGAAACAAAGTATTTTAGTAAAAAACTAGCCAGTGAAGATGAATTTATGAATTCCATGGAGACTTAGAAAGGTGTTATCTACCTGAGAATAACATTTCATCATATACCCTTCCTCCCCACATCCCTTGTTTGTGTAATCAATAAACACTGGATTTAAAAAAATTGGGCAGCTGACTGTCCCTTTTGAAGACTCCTTGTTTGCCCATTCTTCTGTCAACTCCTGTGAGCTTAACTACTTGGAAGTTTTGGAAGACAAACAACTGTCCGTCATTCTGTGCCAAGAAGGCCTGAGAAAGGACAGTGTCTCATCACTCTGCAAGTCATTTCTCTCATCCCTGACTTCCAAGAAGGTGCCTCTTTCATCCAGTAGTGTGATCTTTTCAAGCTTCCAACGTTCTCTTTTTATTCTAAAATAAAAGAAAGCCATAATTTGAGGTGCCTGTGGACACATATGGCTCAAATTCTCCTTCCAGCAATAGAAAGCATTTTCTCCTGGAAAGGAAGAAAGAACACAAAACAAGGGCTTTATTTAATTCCGTGGTGCCAACCCTACCTTGCAAGAGCAAGGTCCTGAGTTCAATCCCCCATACTGGGGGAAAAAAGTAAACATAAAATGACCCAGTGTCTAACACAAAATGACAAAGTACCTGCAAGACTGGAGCTGCTGGATGACAGAATTGATGCTTTCTTTCATCTCTGATTCTTCATGGCCCAGAACACTGCCTGGAAGGTAAGAGGCAGTCACCTTGTATTTTTTGATCATTGTAAGCATGAAGAACTAGTTTGCATCCATTAGTCTGGAAACACAGAAATGATGATTGGCCTTTTACAAGTAAATGTAATCCTGTACACGTTTTATTTTTGCAGATTTTTTAAAAAGCAGCTTTTTCACATTTCTCCCCTACTATTTAACAAGGGAAAACAAAGACAGAAGACAGGGAAACATAGGAAAAAAGAGACAGGAAAAAAAGGAAAATGGAAGAAAAAACAAGACTAATGCGAGTAAAATTTGGTTTAGAAACACAGAACCAATGTCCTATTGGAAGAAAATTTCAAAGAGCACTACTATGTCTGTCTTCAGGAAATTGCCCTTGAAAACAGGGGAATTGATATTGAGCAACCTTCCTGACAGTGTGCTTGCAAAATCCAACAGGAAGCCTTAGGGTGGGGACGTGGCTTCCTCCCCATCCCTGCTACATAACTACGCTACAGAGAATGGCGCTCTGTTCCCACTCTCAGAAAGCCACCCTCCCTCATCTTGCATGGTCCCACATCACTGATCTTCAGGTAGCCACTCTGGACAGCCCAACACCCACTTCTAGGACCAAACAGCATTTGCTGCTCCGGGGCACAACACAGCATCGGTGAGTGAACATGGAATTTAGGGCAAAGGATGAAGCTTGCCAATCTGAAAGGCAAGGCCCAGGAAGTCTGCCCTTGTGGGGAAACAATTTATCAAAAACATACTTTATCTCTAAGAACCCAATGATATACATGTTTATACACATTTAAGTATATGTATGTTTACCAAGGTGACATTAATGGCAATAAAACATTGGAAACAATTCCAGTATCCAACCATTCTGTATGTTTTTAAAAGTAGGGCTATATGTATCAAATTACAGAATAGTCTAAACCACTAAATTTTATGTTTTGAAGACATTTCATTAGGTAGTAAAACTGTTTCTCTTCAATTTTTCACAGAAAGAATGAGTATAATTTGTGCAAAAAATATAACCCCATATAGGTCAACGTGTTAATAATAGTTATCTCTGGGTGATTACATCATAGGCTAATTATGTCACGCTTTTATATATCTCAGTAATTTTTTTTTTTGGTACTGGGGATTGAACTCAGGTCCTTGTGCTTGCAAGGCAGGTGGAGGAAACACTGAGCTAAATCCCTGGCCCTATCCCAGTATTTTTGACAAGAATCATATTTGCCATTTCTTCTTGGTTGAAAGAAACCAATGCTCTTTTCTTCTTTGGTAGCAACACAGACAAAATGCTGCAATGAAAGAGAAAGCAGAAGTGACCCCTAGTTTTTTATTTTCCTGAGCCAGTTCTTCATCTCATGCATGTTCTGGAAATGGAAAGATCTTAGCTCTCCGAGTGGAAGATGCTGAATACCCAGTGAAACTAAGACCCAGCTCCAGCATGCCCCCAGCCACCACATAGCCCAGGGAGCCAGTCCCCAGCCCTCCTCCAGAAAGATAGCCCAACTCTAACCAGGCACTCAGCATCCAGCAACCCAGAACTTCTGCTCAGAAAGGCAGGCAGAGGACAGAGAGGAAATCTGGAAGCCAGGTTCCCAACAGGGCACCTCCCTCCAAGGCTAGACGGTTCCAAGGGTGGGAGGTGGGGCAACAGGAGAGAGAAGGAGCTCGAGCTACCACTGTGGGGAGGGGAAGGAAGTTAGTCTTCCTTCAAGCATCACCTCCTCAAGATTCCTTTAAAATCTCACCAGGGAGCACATGGAAGGTGTCCCCTTCACAGACAGAGAAGAAACCAACAGACACAGACAGGAATCTGTGTGGTACCTCTGTCCCCCACACGCTCCTTCACCCATCCGGTGGCTGCAGCGATGCTCTCTGTCTGGGTGACGTCCAGGATCACCGTCTCCAGCCGTGCCAACGTCTGCTTCCTCAGCTGCTCGGCCCCCTTCTCTGTCAGACACGCGGCCAGCACCCTCAAGCCTCGCGTGTCCAGCTGTCTGGCCAGCAGGTTCCCGAAGCCCGAGTCACAGCCCGTGAACAACACATACTTGTCTTGGGGGTTGCTCACCACCTGCCTCTCCCATACCAGCGCACGAGGTGGTACAGGCCCACGAGGGCTGACAGGTACAGCAACATGACTTTGCAGAGGACAGGAACAGACAGTGTGTCAAGACAAGAGTCTGGCCTGTCTTAATCTAAAAGGAGAAGAGGAAGTGAGAATCCAGAGGGTTGTTGAAGACACGTAGCCTCCAGATTCCCTAGCATGGAGCCTGCATATCACTGTAATTATTTTCTGTCCCACCTCTCCGCCCCTTGGATCGCTTTTGTTTTCTTGCTATGTAGCTGCCTTTGAATATCTCATGTCCTGCCTCCAAGGAAAACATGACTATTTAGCAACTTGTCCTTGCACATATCCTCTGCCATTCAGTGCCCCTACAGAAATCTATGCAATACCCCTAACACATACACCTCTCTGATCAGCTTCTAGAGTCAGACTATCTTTTCAGGTCAGCTCCCTGCATCACAGACTTCCTGGACATGGGTAGGTGTTGATGGCAGCCTACAATTGGAGTCAAGGCACATAACAATGAATTCCCTCTCTGAATCCAGGTTTCCTCATCAGGGTCACCACCCGGAATACCTCCTCAGATATTA